ACTGAGACATTTTTCTCCCTATACCACCTTTTCTGCATCGGTGTCAGCCCAGCATAGTTCATTAGTACCATCTTCTCCTGCTTCCTGCTGTCCCTGCTTTCATTTGTAAACTCACATCCACTAATTCCGCTAGTTTCAAAGTCCGCTCTCCTTTTGGGGATTATTAAACTACTTTTCCCCCGTCTCCTTAACGCTTTATTAAGAACGGGTTTGAAGGCCGAGATTTAAAATGATCTTTGAAAAGCTCAGACTGTGCCATAAATCATTTCAATGGTCCGTATAGAGGGAGGAATTGTTCTTGGTTCCAAATGAAGGCTTTAAAGTCTCACTCCAATCAGGGTTAATATGCATTTTAGAGCCGACAATTAAAATGTAAAGTCGAACACATGGTAATGAACTCATCGAGGATTCAGACCGACCGACTCCTCTCCACTGGGAACTTCCACTTAAAGTGATAGTCTGTAACTCTAAATGAATTACAAATTTTAGGATATGTGCTAAATTGACCTCCTGGCCTTAAATGTTGATATAAATAAGTCATTTTATTAATTCTAATATTACGGGCAAGTCCCGCCTTCCCTGCTCTTAGCTATAGTTCAGAATCCACGGTGCCGTCGAGGTTAACCAATCGAGTCATGCCAAGGGCTGTCAATCATCGGCGCTGATGCTCGCAGCTGCGCGCAGCTGCGCGCAGCTGCGCGCATGCGCAGTTGTTTGTTTTTGCGGAGCCTCCGAATCAAGCCTCCATTAGGCTCTGGAACAACATGAAAACTGAACAAAGAATTCTGAACATCCGCGCTGAGGTACTTATGTATATTCTGAACCTATATCCATAATCAGATCTTCTGCAGATGTGTCCTATAATGTGCAATTCATGATAATAGCACTTCCTGGTTTGCCGCGATCGCTTTTTTTGTGCATAAAAACATTATTTTTTTCATTAAAACGTTCACAAATAATTTTGAAAACCTCTGTGCATGTGTATTAATAATGTATATGTATAATGTGTTCTCTGATTAACATTTCAAAGTGTTACGGAAACGTAGATGTAGACCAATCAGAAAGGAAGGGGGAGGGAGATTGCGTCGTTTTTTTCAAATCAAGTACCTCTCTGTCTCTCTTTCTGACAAACTCCAGACAATCACTTTAAAGCAAAATCAGAAGTGGTTGTTGAGAGTGAACGCAAGTTACGTGTTGCTATAAGTCCACAACCTTTTAACACATGTCTATTTAAACAGAAAACACAATTTCCTGATACAAAAAATGATACAATATAATTTTTATCTTCATTTTAGCACATCTTAAAACAAAATCTGCCAATGGGACAAAGCCTTTTCGTCTTATTAGGTGGCTGAGTGGATAGAACTCTCGCTTCTCAGCAAGAAGGTCCTGGGTTGGAATCCCGGTCGGTACAAGGCCTTTCTGAGTGGAGTTTGCATATTCTCCCCGTGTCTGCGTAGGTTTCCTCCAAGTGCTCCGGTTTCCCCTACCACTAAAAACATGCTCAATAGGTCTGAATGTAAATGAGAGAGTGAATGGATGGTGTTGGAGCTGATGGTCCAGTGTGTTCTGGACTCGCTTCTGTCATCACCGTGTGTGGAAGGATTGGAACAATATCTGACTCTGAACATTGTAAAGTGCTTTGGGTTTGTACCTTGGTCTGTAAAATGCGCTATATAAATAAACATTACTTACTTACTGGTCGGAACAGGGCCTTTCTGAATGGAGTTTGCATGTTCTCCGTGGCTGCTCCGGTCTCCCCTACCACCAGACACACGTACAATGGGTAAAATCTTCCAGCTCCAGTTCGAGCATCAACATCTGGAGAAGGGTTCCCAGGCGCTGTGCTCCGGTGCCCAGTGGCATCAGGGTCAAATGCAATGGACAAATCTCCCTACAGGGGCAATAAAGTGCACATTCACATTAATTTTTCTCATTTCAAGGGAGACATTTCTTGTATCTTTTCAAACAAGATGATTTTTCTTGTTTAAGACAGTCAAAATTAAGATATGTTTTGCGAAATTTAGGCTAATTTGTTCTTAATTCTAATCACTTTCTGCTCTGTTGCTGGTTAAAAAGACAGAAATGGCTCCTTCGTTAACATAAACAGAGGTGTGTAACGTATTCAAAGGTGGTGTTTTGTTTCATCGGGTCGTTGCTACGCCGCTGCCGTTGGAGAGGATGGAAGTTTCCAACGTCCCACAGTGATTTGTAGTCTATTGTTATCACCAGAAGTACCACTAATCCCAATGGACTTTCTAATCTGATTCTATGTATTCAAAGAGAAGGGACTTGTGGGAAATACAGACTTCAAGGCAGGATCTCGGAGCTGCGATGTGACACATGTGGGAATAGTGGCCGGTCCTTCCTGCAGCTACACAGTAATATCTATGAAATATCTATAACAGTAAAAACACACTCTTCTTTGTGTCTGCCATTTAACTTCACTGCAAAAAAAATCAAATATGAAATGAAGTGGTTTTTATCTTATTTTGAGTACATTTTGACTTAAAGTACGATTTTCCGATGGAACAGTGTTATTTCAGGAACTGTTGCTTTATTTTTTCATTCCAAGAGAGACTTTTCTTGTATCTTGTTCCATTGAGACACATTTTAGCCAAATTTGATCCATTTCTGACTGATATTTCTTCACTTTTTGCAGTGTTGTTTGTTTGTTTTGTCGTTTAAGTGACTTTAGGAGTATTTCGTGCATCACATTATGCAAAATCTAATATCGGCATTTTCAATTCCTTCTCAAAAACAGACTTGGAGACCCCTTTTTCGACCCATCCAGGATATTCTAGTACAAACATGTAACTTAATTTATGCAGATAAATTAGTTTTGTGTGTGAAGGGAAAAGACAAGTCTGATTTTCCAGCCGATATCATTAGATTATAACAATTCTCTCTATGCTCCCTCTGCTGGTAGCATAGAGAGTTACAGGCTTAAAGCATTTATAACCCTTCATACCATATTTCACCAAAAATGTACTAGTTAAGCTTTTATTTTGCATTCTAAAACATGAAATGACAAAGTAAACATTATCCCTTTTAATGGGAAAAAACATTGAATAATAGTTCTTCTTTAAGCCTTTGTGAATGTCTGTTTATTTTTGGCTCCTATTTCTCAGTAAAAATCAATCAATGTCACGCTGTTCTTTTTTATATTGTTGAATGTCCACATATCCCTCTCCTCTTCCTTCCTTCTCCACGGTCTCATTCAGTTTTCATTCTGAAGCATTGCGCCTCTCACTTTGTCTCCGACTACATTATCTCCTCTACACTTTAATGTTAGCTAGCTGAGCGCGCACTGCACATAACTAGTTTTACATGACGGATCACTTTCTCCTCACCTGAGAAATATCGGCCCTGTTGCTCTAATGCAGATTTATTATTAACATGAAATGGCGTGACTTAAGGAGTCTCAAAAAGTAGTAAATATATTTGGATTTATGCTCAGGTTCTGTTCGAAACGCTGACTGTGAGCGGGAGCCAAGCCATCAATTCAATATTACGTCAGCCAGAGATATTTTTTTCCTGCACAACCTATTTTTATTATTCAATATAGCCTACTTTCATGGAACCTGGACAAGCAGCTCATCCATTCGTCTTGTTTACATTTACTGAAGAGGTACTTTAACCTCTTATCTTTATTTTAATGGAACAGTATCTAGGAGGTTTTAATATTTTTCCCGAAAATGAGATGTATCAAATCCCGGGAAAAGACGACGCCTTTCCCGGAAATAGCTGTTGTTTGTAGTTGTTGTTTTTAGCCCAAGTAATGTATGATATCACTCAAATATGTAATTAATCAAAAGCTGCCGTCTCCGCTAGCTTTTTTGAAGTAGCCACATCGTTTTCAGACGTTTTGTTGATGGACTTTCTTCAGGAATTTCACTGCTGAGATTCTAAATGTCTGCGCAATCCACAGTGACGTGCGTGTGGTTTGGAGGCACTGACTTCAGCCCAATCAGATGAACACATATATCATATAAATCAACAGGACCTACAGAGCGGCTTATTCACAATTAGTTTGGCTACAGCAGAATATGTTTCATGCCCGCATTGTTTGCTTAAGTGTGTTATGGGCCTTGCCTTAGTTCAGACCAGTGTTTTAAGTCCAGATAATAGTTTGAGCGTAGATATGTAATCCTCCATTTGGAAAAAAAGTCCAAAGAGTTTTAAAGAGTAAAACAAAATGGGTTTCTCCTCCATAAACTCTGCAGCCGACTCTCGGGTGCATCCAATTTCTAATATCAACCTTCTTACCCTTCTCCTCTCTTCCTTATCATTCATATCGTCATTGGAAGCATAACATTACCCTAAATGCATTTTAAATGATCTTAAAATGTGTTATCTGTATGTTAGCCAAACCTGTAGCTGCCCTTAGCAGATGAAATAAAGAAAGGAGCTTTCTGATAGAATTGGATGTAACCCAAGGCAAGGCAAGGCAAGCTTATTTGTATAGCACAATTCATACACAAGGCAACTCAAAGTGCTGAACAAAACAAGAAAGCATTAAAATCATAAATAATCACAGTACATTAAAAAGAAAGATAAAAATATAAAATCCTTCAGTTGTATGCACCAAATTCTGGGCTCACAAGCGCCCCCCTGAGGCTGGCCTCACTTGGTGATATGACAAGCCGTGGTTTAGCGCAATTAAGACCCATATTTGTTGTCAAAAACACAATATATGAGCCATCCTCTCAGCTGTAGACATGTTGATTGTAAATGAAATATGTTTGAACTTTTAACAATAATAAACCCACACTATAATAGGAGCACACTGGAATTTGTATTAACTTTCATTTCTCGTTTTCCGTCAAAACATTTCCCAGGAATCGGGAAATAGTTTTGATCAGATTTCCAGGGAGTAAACCCGGGACCAGTGTAAAACCATGAACACTGTCCATGAAAAAGCAATGGGACTGATGTGTGGGACCTGAGGTGGACTGAGGGTGGGACAGAGGTGGGACTGAGGTGGGAGTGAGGTGGGACTAGTGGGGACTGATGTGGGACTGAGGTGGGACTTGAGGTGGGACTGAGGTGGGGACTAGAGGTGGGACTGAGGTGGGACTGAGGGTGGGACTGAGGTGGACTGAGGTGGTGGACTGAGGTGGGACTGAGTGTGGACTGAGGTGGACTTGAGGTGTGGGGACTGAGGTGGGACTGAGTGGGCCTCGAGGGGTGGGACGAGGGGTGGGACTGAGGTGGGACTGAGGTGGGAGTGAGGTGGACGGAGGTGGGACTGAGGTGGGACTGAAGGTGGGACGAGGTGGGACTGAGGTGTGGGACAGAGGTGGGACGAGGTGGGACTGAGGTGGGACTAGAGGTGGGATGAGGTGGACTGAGGTTGGACTGAGGTGGGACTGAGGTGGACTGAGGTGGGACAAGGGGGACTGGGAGGTGGGACTGAGGTGGGACTGAGGTGGGACTGAGTGGGACGAGTGTGGGACTGAGGTGGGACTGAGGTGTGGGACTGAGGTGGGACTGAGGTGTGGGACTGATGTGGGCTGAGGTGTGGGACTGAGGTGGGACGAGGGGGACTGAGGGTGGGACTGAGGTGTGGGACTGAGGTGGGACTGAGGTGGGACTGAGGGTGGGACTGAGGTGGGACTGAGGTGGGACTGAGGTGGGACTGCGGTGGGACTGAGGTGGGACTGAGGTGTGGACTGAGGTGGGACTGAGTGGACTGAGGTGTGGGACTGAGGTGTGGGACTGAGGAGGACTGAGGTGGGACTGAGTGGGACTGAGGTTGGGACAGAGAGGGACTGAGGTGGGACTGAGGTGGACTGAGGGGGCTGAGGTGGGACGGAGTGGGACTGAGGTGGGATCTGAGGTGGACTGAGGGTGGGACTGAGGTGGGAACTGAGGTGGACTGAGGTGGACTGAGGTGGACTGAGTGTGGACTGAGGTGGGACTGAGGTGGGACTGAGGTGGGACTGAGGTGGGACTGAGGGGTGGACTGAGGGTGGACTGAGGTGTGGACTGAGGTGGGACTGAGGTGGGACTGAGGTGGACTGAGGTGTGGGACTGAGGTGGTACTGAGGTGGGACTGAGGGTGCGACTGAGGTGGACTGAGGTGGACAGAGGTGGGACTGAGGTGTGGACTGAGGTTGGGATGAGGTGGGACTGAGGTGGGACTGAGGTGGGACTGAGGGGGACTGAGGTGGGACTGATGTGTGGGACTGAGGTGAGGGACTGAGGTGGGACTGAGTGGGACTGAGGTGGACTGGGTGGGACAGAGGTGGGACTGAGGTGGACTGAGGTGGGACTGAGTGGACTGAGGTGGGACTGAGGTGGGACTGGAGGTGGGACTGAGGTGTTGGACTGAGGTGTGGGACTGAGGTGTGGGACTGAGGTGTGGGACTGAGGTGGGACTAGAGGTGGGACTGAGGTGGACTGAGGTGGGACTGAGGGGACGAGTTGGGACTAGAGTGGGACTGAGTGTGGGACTGAGGTGGGTCGGAGTGGGGACTGAGTGGGACTGAGGTGGGACTGAGGTGGGACTGAAGGTGTGGGACTGTGAGGGTGGACTGAGGTGTGGACTGAGGTGGGACTGAGGTGGGACTGAGTGGGACTGAGGTGTGGGACTGAGGTGGGACTGAGGGGGGACTGAGGTGTGGGACTGAATGTGTGGACTGAGGTGGACTGAGGTGGACTGAGTGGAACAGCGGTGGACTGAGGTGTGGGACTGAGGTGTGGACTGAGGTGGGACAGAGGTTGGGACTGAGGTGGGACTGAGGTGGGACTGAGGTGGGACTGAGGTGGGACTGAGGTGGGACTGAGGTGGGACGAGGAGGACTGAGGTGGGACTGAGGTGGGACTGAGTGTGGGACTGAGTGTGGGACTGAGGTGTGGGACTGAGGTGTGGGACTGAGGTGTGGGACTGAGGTGGGACTGAGGTGGACTGAGGGTGGGACTGAGGGGACTGAGTGGGACTGAGTGGGACTGAGGTGGGCCTGAGGTGGGACTGAGGGGTGGGACTGAGGGGTGGGACTGAGGTTGGGACCTGAGTGGGACTGAGGTGTGGGACTGAGGTGGGACTGGGGTGGGACTGAGGGGGACTTGAGGTGGGACTGAGGGTGGGACTGAGGTGGGAATGAGGTGGACTGAGGTGTGGGACTGAGGGGGACTGAGGTGTGGGATTGAGGTGGGACTGAGGTGGACTGAGGTGGACTGAGGTGGGACTGAGGTGTGGGGACTGAGGTGGGACGAGTGGGACGAGGTGGAACTGAGGTGTGGGACAGAGGTGTGGGACTCGAGGTGTGGGGACTGAGGTGTGGGACTGAGTGTGGAGGGACTGAGGTGGGACTGAGGTGGGACTGAGGTGGGACTGATGGTGGTGGGAAGAGGTGGACTGAGTGGGACTGAGGTGGGACTGAGTGTGGGACTGAGTGGGGACTGAGGTGGGACTGCGGTGGGACTGAGGTGGGACTGAGGTGGGGACCCAGGAAAGGTGGTGGGCTGAGAGTGGGCTGAGGTTGGGACTGAAGGTGGATCGAGGTGGGGACTGAGGTGTGGATTGAGGTGGGACTGAGGTGGGACAGAGGTGGGACTGAGGTGTGGTGAACTGAGGTGGGACTAGTGGGACTGAGGTGGGACTGAGGTGGGACTGAGGTGGGACTGGAGGGTGGGACTGAGGGGTGGGACAGATGAGGACTGAGGTGGGACTGAGTGGGGACTGAGGTGGAACTGAGGGGACTTGAGTGGGACCTGAGGTGTGGGACTGAGGTGTGGGACTGAAGGTGGGACGAGGTGGGACTGAGGTGGCGGACTGAGTGGACTGAGGTGGGACTGAGGTGTGGACTGAGGTGTGGGACTGAGGTGGTACCAGATGGGTGGGACTGAGTGTGGGATTTGAGGTGGATTGAGGTGGGACTTGATGTGTGGGAATGAGGTGGGACGAGGTGGGACTGAGTGGGACTGAGGTGACTGAGGGTGGGACTGAGGTGGGACTGAGGTGGGACTGAGGGTGGGACTATGGGTGGGACTGAGGGGTGTCTGAGTGGGACTGAGGTGGGACAGAGGTGGACATGAGGTGTTGGACGGAGGTGTGGACTGAGGTGGGACTGAGGTGGGACTGAGGTGGGACTGAGGTGGGACTGAGGTTGGGACTGAGGTGGGACACGAGGTGGGACTGAGGGTGGACTCGAGGGTGGACTGAGGGGGACTGAGGTGGACCTGAGGTGGGACTGAAGGTGTGACTGAGGGGTGGGAACTGAGGGGTCGGGACTGAGGGGTGGGACTGAGGGGTGGGACTGAGGTGGGACTGAGGGGTGGGACTGAAGGTGGGACTGAGGTGTGGACTGAGGTGGGACTGAGGTGGACTGAGGTGTGGGGACTGAGGTGGGACTGAGGTGTGGGACTGAGGTGGGGGACGAGGGTTGGACTGAGGTGGGACTGAGTGGGAACTGGAGGGGTGGGACTGAGGGTGGGACTGAGGGGTGGGACTGGAGGGGTGGGACTGAGTGGGACTGAGTGGACTCTGAGGGTGGGACTGAGGTGGGACTGATGTGGGACTGAGGTGGGACTGGACATGTGACTAAGAAACGTGAACGCTCCGTGCGGGAGGGGGAGAAAGCTCCGTGCGGGGAGGGGGAGAAAGCTCCGTGCGGGGAGGGGAGAAGCACGTGGGGAGGGGGAGAAAGCCCTGCGGAGGGGGAGAAAGCTCCGTGCGGGGAGGGGAGAAAGCTCCGTGCGGGGAGGGGGAGAAAGCTCCGGCGGGAGGGGAGAACGCTCCGTGCGGGGGGGGGGAGAAAGCTCCGTCGGGGGGGGAGAAAGATCGTGCGGGGAGGGGGAGAACGCTCCGTTGGCGGGAGGTGGATAAAGCACCGTGCGGGGTAGGGGAGGAACGCTCCGTGCGGGAGGGGAGAAAGCTCCGTGCGGGAGGGGAGAAAGCTCCGTGCGGGAGGGGGAGAAAGCTCCGTGCGGGAGGGGAGAAAGCCCGTGCGGGGAGGGGGAAACGCTCCGTGCTGAGGGAGAAAGCTCCGGCGGGAGGGGAGAAAGCTCCGTGCGGAGGGGAGAAAGCTCCGTGCGGGGAGGTGAGAAAGCTCCGTGCGGGGAGGGGAGAAGCTCCGTGCGGGAGGGGAGACCTCCGGCGGGAGGGGGAGAAAGCTCCGTGCGGGAGGGGGAAACGCTCCGTGCGGGAGGGGAGAAAGCTCCGTGCGGGGAGGGGGAGAACGCACCGTGCGGGGAGGGGGAGAACGCTCCGTGCGTGGGAGGGGGAGAACGCCCGTGCGGGGAGGGGGAGAAAGCTCCGTGCGGGGAGGGGAGGAACGCTCCGTGCGGGGAGGGGAGCGCTCGACATTTTGACAATTTCACAAGGTTAGTGCAGCTTTAATAAAAAATCAGCTCGAAAAGGAGTGGGAAGAAGTTAAGACTTTAAACTTCCACCCCCTATTTATTATTGGTAATTAATTTAACTTAATTATGTGGTTTTACAGATTATAAGATGATCTATATGATGAAGATGATCTAGATATGAAGATTGATTCTAGATTTGCGCTGTCTTGAATCAGGAAATAGATAAGATAACAGTCTTTATAAACCCAATTATGTCCTCCTACCACCGACCAATCAGGTGCCATCTGTAGGAGCTACCCACCATCACTGCATCTGTTGGCTTTTTGGTTGCTAGGTGTTGCTACCCACAATTTACTGCAGAATCTTTCCATGGAGCCTGTTTGAATCGGCTCTTATTAGAGTTTTGTCGGGCATGAAAATGAAGCCCGACCCTCTAATGTTAAGCCCGATGAAGCTAAATACTACAGCATTGCTTGATATATTATTAACAAACACAAAGGTGGTCTGAGTAAGATGGTTAAGGTTAGGGTCTGGGTTTATACACGGAGATATAGTAGAAGAAGAAGAGGTTTATACACGGAGATATAGTAGAAGAAGAAGAGGTTTATACACGGAGATATAGTAGAAGAAGAAGTGGTTTATACACGGAGATATAGTAGAAGAAGAAGAGGTTTATACACGGAGATATAGTAGAAGAAGAAGAGGTTTATACACGGAGATATAGTAGAAGAAGAAGAGGTTTATACACGGAGATATAGTAGAAGAAGAAGAGGTTTATACACGGAGATATAGTAGAAGAAGAAGTGGTTTATACACGGAGATATAGTAGAAGAAGAAGAGGTTTATACACGGAGATATAGTAGAAGAAGAAGAGGTTTATACACGGAGATATAGTAGAAGAAGAAGAGGTTTATACACGGAGATATAGTAGAAGAAGAAGAGGTTTATACACGGAGATATAGTAGAAGAAGAAGTGGTTTATACACGGAGATATAGTAGAAGAAGAAGAGGTTTATACACGGAGATATAGTAGAAGAAGAAGAGGTTTATCAGAATCAGAATCAGAATCAGAATCATTTTTATTGCCAACGTAAGTAACGGGAGGTCACAGACTTGGAAATTGCTTTGGCTCAGTGCAACAGTCAAAAAGAGATAATAAAAATAAGAATAAAAAACACTTCTAAAGAATAAATTTAAATTTAAAATAGAGTTACAGTTACTATTTACAATATACAATTGCACATGGTGCACACAATGTAAGGTGACAGCAGTACAGTGAAGTAAAGTGACGTATGATGGGCAGTAAAGTGACTTTATAAAGGGCGGGGGGACAGGTTAAGAAGTGTTCAAGAGTCCAACAGCAGAGGGGAAGAAACTGTTCTTGTGGCGGGAGGTTCTAGTCCTGATGGACCGCAGCCTCCTGCCTGAGGGGAGTGGTTGGAATAGTCCATGTGCAGGGTGAGAGGGGTCGGCTGTGATACGACCAGCCCGGCCTCGAGCTCGGGCGACGTACAGGTCCTGCAGCGATGGAAGGCTGCGGCCGATCACTTCCTCTGCAGAGCGCACAATGCGCTGTAGTCTCTGTTTGTCCCTGACTGTGGCTCCAGCGAACCACACGGTGATGGAGGAGGTGAGGATGGACTCGATGATGGCCGTGTAGAACTGCACCAACATCTGTGCAGGCAGCTTGGCTTTCCTGAGCTGCCGCAGGAAGTACATCCTCTGCTGGGCCTTCTTGATGAGGGAGCTGATGGTCGGCTCCCACTTGAGGTCCTGGGTGATGGTGGTGCCCAGGAAACGGAAGGACTCCACAGAGGTGATGGGGGAGTCCATCACGGAGGGTGGGGGCGGGGGGACAGTGCTCTTCCTGAAGTCCACAATCATCTCCACTGTCTTCTGGGCGTTCAGCTCCAGGTTGTTACCACTGCACCAGGACACCAGCCGGTCCACCTCCCTCCTGTAGGCGGACTCATCGTTGTTGGAGATGAGTCCAATGAGGGTGGTGTCGTCCGCGAACTTGATCAGCTTCACGGAGTCGTGGCTGGAGGTGCAGTGGTTGGTGTGTACAGGGAGAAGAGCAGGGGAGAAAGAACACAGCCCTGTGGGGCTCCTGTATTTATAATCCGAGAGTCCGAGACATTCTTCCCCAGACGCACTCGCTGCTTCCTGTCCGTCAGGAAGTCAGTGATCCACCTGCAGGTGGAATCGGGCACGTTGAGCTGGGAGAGCTTGTCCTGGAGCAGGGATGGCAGGATTGTGTTGAAGGCAGAGCTGAAGTCCACGAACAGGACCCTGGCGTAGGTCCCCGGGGAGTCCAGGTGCTGTAGGATGTGGTGGAGGGCCAGGTTAATGGCGTCGTCTACAGATCTGTTGGCTCTGTAGGCGAACTGCAGGGGGTCCAGGAGGGGGGAGGTGAGGGACTTGAGATGGGAGAGAACCAGGCGTTCAAATGACTTCATGACGACAGACGTAAGTGCTACAGGTCTGTAGTCATTGAGTCCTGTGATCCTGGGCTTCTTCGGGACGGGGACAATGATGGAGGATTTGAAGCAGGCCGGGACATGGCAGGACTGCAGAGAGGAGTTGAAAATGTCCGTGAACACAGGAGTAAGCTCACTGGCGCAGTGTCTCAGAGTGGCCGGAGACACGTGGTCCGGGCCAGGAGCTTTGCGGGGGTGCAGCCTCAGGAAGAGTTGTTTAATCTCTTTAGCGGCTATTGTTAGGCTGGGGGCAGGGCTGATGGGTGGGTCGTTAGAGTAGTGGGGGGTGGGGGAGGGAGAGGTGTCAGGGGCAGCATCAAAGCGACTGAAAAATAAGTTCAGATCGTCAGCTAGCTTGTGGTCGTCAGCACAGGGGGGGGCTTTGGGTTTGTAGTTGGTGATCTCCCGTAGGCCCCTCCAGACAGAAGCAGTATCGTTGTTACCAAACTGCTCCTGTAGTCGTTCTCTGTGCCGGGACTTGGCTGCTTTCAGTTCTTTCCTGAACTGATATTTAGCTGCTTTGTAGCCGCTGCGGTCCCCCTCCCTGAAAGCAGACTCCTTTGCTTTCCTGAGCTGCCGGAGTTTAGCAGTGAACCAGGGTTTGTCGTTGTTATAGATGACCCTGGTCCTTGTTGGAATGATGCTATCCTCACAGAGATACACGGAGATATAGTAGAAGAAGAGGTTTATACACGGAGATATAGTAGAAGAAGAAGTGGTTTATACACGGAGATATAGTAGAAGAAGAAGTGGTTTATACACGGAGATATAGTAGAAGAAGAAGTGGTTTATACACGGAGATATAGTAGAAGAAGAAGAGGTTTATACACGGAGATATAGTAGAAGAAGAAGTGGTTTATACACGGAGATATAGTAGAAGAAGAAGAGGTTTATACACGGAGATATAGTAGAAGAAGAAGAGGTTTATACACGGAGATATAGTAGAAGAAGAAGAGGTTTATACACGGAGATATAGTAGAAGAAGAAGAGGTTTATACACGGAGATATAGTAGAAGAAGAAGTGGTTTATACACGGAGATATAGTAGAAGAAGAAGAGGTTTATACACGGAGATATAGTAGAAGAAGAAGTGGTTTATACACGGAGATATAGTAGAAGAAGAAGTGGTTTATACACGGAGATATAGTAGAAGAAGAAGTGGTTTATACACGGAGATATAGTAGAAGAAGAAGAGGTTTATACACGGAAGAGATATAGTAGAAGAAGAAGTGGTTTATACACGGAGATATAGTAGAAGAAGAAGAGGTTTATACACGGAGATATAGTAGAAGAAGAAGAGGTTTATACACGGAGATATAGTAGAAGAAGAAGAGGTTTATACACGGAGATATAGTAGAAGAAGAAGAGGTTTATACACGGAAATATAGTAGAAGAAGAAGTGGTTTATACACGGAGATATAGTAGAAGAAGAAGAGGTTTATACACGGAGATATAGTAGAAGAAGAAGAGGTTTATACACGGAGATATAGTAGAAGAAGACGTGGTTTATACACGGAGATATAGTAGAAGAAGAAGAGGTTTATACACGGAGATATAGCAGAAGAAGAAGAGGTTTATACATGGAGATATAGTAGAAGAAGAAGAGGTTTATACACGGAGATATAGTAGAAGAAGAAGTGGTTTATACACGGAGATATAGTAGAAGAAGAAGTGGTTTATACACAGAGATATAGTAGAAGAAGAAGAGGTTTATACACGGAGATATAGTAGAAGAAGAAGTGGTTTATACACGGAGATATAGTAGAAGAAGAAGCGGTTTATACACGGAGATATAGTAGAAGAAGAAGTGGTTTATAGACGGAGATATAGTAGAAGAAGAAGAGGTTTATACACGGAGATATAGTAGAAGAAGAAGTGGTTTATACACGGAGATATAGTAGAAGAAGAAGAGGTTTATTTACGGAGATATAGTAGAAGAAGAAGAGGTTTATACACGGTGATATAGTAGAAGAAGAAGAGGTTTATACACGGAGATATAGTAGAAGAAGAAGTGGTTTATACACGGAGATATAGTAGAAGAAGAAGTGGTTTATACACGGAGATATAGTAGAAGAAGAAGTGGTTTATACACGGAGATATAGTAGAAGAAGAAGAGGTTTATACACTGAGATATAGTAGAAGAAGAAGAGGTTTATACACGGAGATATAGTAGAAGAAGAAGAGGTTTATACACGGAGATATAGTAGAAGAAGAAATGGTTTATACACGGAGATATAGTAGAAGAAGTGGTTTATACACGGAGATATAGTAGAAGAAGAAGAGGTTTATACACGGAGATATAGTAGAAGAAGAAGAGGTTTATACACGGAGATATAGTAGAAGAAGAAGTGGTTTATACACGGAGATATAGTAGAAGAAGAAGTGGTTTATACACGGAGATATAGTAGAAGAAGAAGAGGTTTATACACGGAGATATAGTAGAAGAAGAAGTGGTTTATACACGGAGATATAGTAGAAGAAGAAGAGGTTTATTTACGGAGATATAGTAGAAGAAGAAGAGGTTTATACACGGTGATATAGTAGAAGAAGAAGAGGTTTATACACGGAGATATAGTAGAAGAAGAAGTGGTTTATACACGGAGATATAGTAGAAGAAGAAGCGGTTTATACACGGAGATATAGTAGAAGAAGAAGCGCTGTCAAAATGCCATCTTTTTGTGCGGTGTACGTTTGTAGCAACCGCACAAATACAGAGAAAGACTAAAGTTTGTTCATGTTCCAACTGTGTCTCATATAAAGGAGGACACTTCGAAAAACTCACTGGAACGAGGCGGAGGTGGATCAAGGCTTTCCCAGATAAGCGCCCCCTGCAGGCCACCCCAATGAAACGCAGCCATTTCTTCTGTTTTTCTTTCCTAAAAACGCCCAAAATCAAGACTCTTTTGAGAAATGTTTTTTTAGTACTCCCTTAGAATTGAGTGTCCCCGATTAGTTTAATGAAAGCCAAGAATACGGGGTTAAGTACCAATTCAGATCTGAAGAAAACAAAACTACAATTACTCAAGTATTGTGTGTCTGGTTTCAAAATGCCCCTTGTGTCTTTTCTTTGCTTTGGAGTTGGATGTTATCGTTAGCACAACAGCAGCAGTGTGGTTCCCTGATGAGGGTCTGATGCTGTGAAAGCCTCTGCGCCGCATGTGACCTCTGACCTTTGCTAAACATAGCGTGTGCCGTGACCAATACGCTCACCGCGCCTCTCCGTGTGTTACTAAGACGCATTACGGAGGCGCTTTAGAGGTGGGGGGTCCGTCCTATGCCTGTCCCCACAAAAATATATGTACCGTATATATTTGTTAGTATTCGTCGGGAGAAGAAAAATACCTGAAAAATACCTGAAAAATGACCCAAAATTATCCTTTCAGGTCATTTTAAGTTTCTTTTTCTGGAGTCGAGCATGCGGGGTCTGCCTGAGGTGAAATATAGTTAGTTTTATTAAATGTTTTGTTTTAGTTAATGTATGTACTTGTGTGTTTGTATAAGAGATACTTTATTCGTCCCACAGTGGGGAAATTCCAGTGTTGCATCACAAGTTACAGAACGGTAGGAATGAGGTGCACACAGCATGAACAATAGCTGTAGTAATTACATTAAAATAAAATATCTAACTCTAGCATCAAATAAATACAGTAAGTGGAAAATCTCCATCTTTCTGTACATGTTAGCAGCAGTATGTTAGCATCTGTACATGTTAGCAGCAGTATGTTAGCATCTGTACATGTTAGCAGCAGTATGTTAGCATCTGTACATGTTAGCAGTTAGCAGTATGTTAGCATCTGTACATGTTAGCAGCAGTATGTTAGCATCTGTACATGTTAGCAGCAGTATGTTAGCATCTGTACATGTTAGCAGCAGTATGTTAGCATCTGTACATGTTAGCAGCAGTATGTTAGCATCTGTACATGTTAGCAGCAGTATGTTAGCATCTGTACATGTTAGCAGCAGTATGTTAGCATCTGTACATGTTAGCAGCAGTATGTTTACATCTGTACATGTTAGCAGCAGTATGTTAGCATCTGTACATGTTAGCAGCAGTATGTTAGCATCTGTACATGTTAGCAGCAGTATGTTAGCATCTGTACATGTTAGCAGCAGTATGTCAGCATCTGTACATGTTAGCAGCAGTATGTTAGCATCTGTACATGTTAGCAGCAGTATGTTAGCATCTGTACATGTTAGCAGCAGTATGTTAGCATCTGTACATGTTAGCAGCAGTATGTTAGCATCTGTACATGTTAGCAGCAGTATGTTAGCATCTGTACATGTTAGCAGCAGTATGTTAGCATCTGTACATGTTAGCAGCAGTATGTCAGCATCTGTACATGTTAGCAGCAGTATGTTAGCATCTGTACATGTTAGCAGCAGTATGTTAGCATCTGTACATGTT